TTGCATTAGAGAGAGAGAGGAAGAGAGAGAAAAAGACTGGCCTCGCTTAGGAATGTGAGAGAACAATCAGAAAATCGAACAATCGTGGAGCAATTGAAGTATTGCCTCGCCTCTAAATCTCTCGAACAATTTGACTCCTTCCCACTTTCCCAACAGCAGCAACACCATAATTGCTAGGGAAACAGAACAGAGAGAGAAAGGGAGAGGCAGAAACAATTCTCAAGTGAAAAACCAGTTCAAGAACAGGTAATAAACCGAGATCTATATAATAAAGTAGGAAATAAAACCCCAAATTCAATTGCCTCAATACTTAACACAGATTGAAAATCCCAAATTCAATAACCCATTTTAAACCCAGATAAACAACCAAACCCTGAAGTCTCACGTTTGGTCAAAAACATAACAACAATTGCTTAATGCTAAGAAAACAGACAATTGAATATATAAGAGAGAGAGAGAGAGAGAGAGAGACCTCGCCTGGGAAGGTAAGAGAACAATTGAAAAATCGAAAAACTCTTTCCGAACAACAGCAGTACCACAATTGCTTAATGCTGGGGAAACAGACACAACAATCAGAGGAGAGGCAAACGTGTAGAGAAAACGTGAGAGAGAACGTGTAGAGAGGGAGTTGAAGAGAACGTGGTGGGCAGACGTGGGAGAGAGAGAGAGAGAGAGATGAGCGCTTGGGCGGGAATGAAAACATCATCTGGACCATTAAATGAAACAGTCCTGCTTTTGGGAATCATCTCAGCCGTTAATACCAAATATATCTCTGATACATTTTATATATTTTCAAAAACAGTCTTGTCTTATTATATATATATATATATATGAAAAATGTTTGAAACCCCTATTTTTTTGAAATCTCCACAATCTCCTTTGGATCTCTACCATTGATAGTGTGGGCCCCACACATATATGAGTGGATCCTACATATACATTAATGGTTAAGATCCAAAGGAGTTTTGGCGGTCTTCAAAAAATGGAGGTCTCAATCAATGTATATTTATTTGAGTAATGTTAGAATAACTAAATTTGTTTATCATTTTTTTTTTTTTTATAAGTAAATTTGTTTATCATCTGACATGTACCTGTAATTCATGTATTGGTACAATGTATTAATCGTGGAGCTTATTGCACCAATGCAATGATAGCACGAAAGATTTTAATAAATTTGACGTTGGTGGTTCAGGTTGTGAGCTAGCCCAATAGTCTTTGGTCCAACCTCTAGTCCAAGAATGACTCGAAAACAAGCCTTAAGGGTTTCACTGGTGGGTAGCGGCGGAGTCAGGAATTTAATATAGGGGTACTTATTGATTTTTATGCGATTTTATTTTGTGGAAGAATAATTATCATATTCTTTTTAAGGAAGAGATGATTCTAACTTTGATTTTCTTTTAAAATATTTCTCCATGACAATTTGAAAAAACTAAAAATCAAAATCACAAACTCTCACAAATCAAAATCTTCAATTTTAATACAAATCAAAAATTTTAATTTAGCACAAATCACAACAAATCAAAATTTCTAATTTTAGCACAAATTATAACAAATTAAAATTTTCAAAATATTAATCACTGCAAATTAATATTTTTAATTTTAGCACAAATCAAATCCCTAATTTTAGCACAAACAACAACAAATCAAAATCTCTAATTTTAATATAAATCACCACCAATTAAGATTCATAATTTTAGCATATCAAAATCTCTTATTTTAACATAAATAATAACAAATAAATTTTTTTTACAAATCAAAACTTGACAAATAACAATAAATTAATACTCATAATTTAAAAATAAATAAATAAAGTTGCCTGTAAACAATGAAGAGAAGATACCAAAGTTGTAGTATGATCCCAAATCTGTGTTGTGTGAGCCTAATTTGGTGAATCGCGAGTCGGTAAATTGCAAAGCAACAAAAGGAGACAAAGAAGACAGAGAAAAAACGAAGACACTTACTAGTACTGTGAATAAATAAAAAAATAAAGAATTTCATATACTTTTAGGATTTTAACCTCGCCGTAATTGGAGTTGTGTGCACTTATCCAAAAAGAAAAAAAATTGTGTGTGAGTATTTGGTTGGGATTAAAAATATAAATAAAAAAAGCACAAAAACAAAAACGAGGGTACGTGTGGTGCGGTGTAGTGTGGTACGTCAATGTGCTTGTATTATGTATAGAAAAGGACATTGTGTGTAAGTGTAAGCAAGACCCCACTAAAAAAAAAATTTTGAAAAGTCAAGGGGCACGTGACCCCCTCGTCCCAACGTCCCTCTGCCACTGCCAATGGGTGTATGCCCTCCGGTGGAGAAGTTAGTTGTCTTGCTAGATTAGAATAGAATGAGGTGGTGTGTATGCATCATGCAGATTGCCTTGGTTACCTGCTTGAGGGATGCTACGTGATCTATCTTTCTTGAGGGCTTCCCCTTGACTTGTTTGGTGTATGAGGTGGTAGCTAGAGCCTTCAGTCCTTCCTGTCCGCCACTTCTTTTTGCTGTTGGGTTTCTGTCCCAAGTCAAACCCTTGAGGGTTGGGCCCTTAGGCTGCGTGTTGGGCCAAGAGGTAGTGGGTGTTTAATCAGTTGGGTGGGGCCCATAGTCAGGAGGATTAGAACAACATATCTATGTTGAGTTGGGCCAATTGGGCGGGTAAGTTGGGCTGGTTGTATCAATCTTTGTTAAGGTAATAAATAAAAAATAAAAAAACTGATTAATTTGAAGGGTGTTTTATATTGGATTTAAATCTATTGTATTCGAATTGGGTTTGTATAATATTCATTCAATGGACAATCTCGGCCTCCCACAAATCTGTCTGATCCCATAACCACATCAAAATCTTATCATTTACTACTTTCTTCTAAAAAACATAGGCCAATGGCTCCTTACAAATAGCTGTTTTGAATGAGAAATTTTTCATTGGAATTTGGATTCTTTATCATTTGATTGGTTATGTGTGTATCAAGGATTGGTAGAGAAAAATGAAAATAAAATAAAAACAAAAAATAAACTCAAATTGAAGTCCTTAAAAAAAGCTCTCTTTTGTTATCCTAGAGATTTTGACAAAGAAAAATTTCAACTATTCATAAATATTACTTTAAAAATTAATCCCAAATAAAAAAGCAATCATCTAATGATAACAAAGTGTTTTAACATATGGAAAATTACAAATCAGTGAGACAGTAAAAAAATATTTTACTATATTTTTATGATGGTACAAATTTTCCTTATATATGGTGCAAACCCTTCTTGTGTTTGGTACAAAGTCCTTGTGAGATAGAGTTATGCAAAAAAAAAAATTTCCTTTATAGTACAATTATTTTTTCATTATTCCACTCATTTGTAATTTCTACTTCCACATACCACATTGTGTGAAAGATCAGAAGAGCTAAATACCACACCCCCTTAGCAAAATATCACTTCTTGATCTTCTATCCATTCACCAAAGTGGGTTTGAGACATGTTCTGATATACAGTGAAAGAAAAACAAAAGATTAAAAGAAAAGGTACAAACAATATAAAGTACATGTCATCAATAATTTCATCAACCGACAAAAATAAGGTGAAATCCCAGGCACCATAAAGTGAATTATATATAAAATCTTAGGGCTCGTTTGGTTTGATTTTCTGAAAAAAATTTGGGAAATTTTCTCTACAAATAAGTTTTCAAAAATAACCAAACCAAACAAATTTTCCCAAAAAAATTTCCCAAAACTTGTAAACCAAACAAGTTTTCCAAACAAATCTCTCTCTCACACATATCAAATCAATCACTTTTTCCAAAACTCTATCTCAAAATAATTTTCCAAAACATCTTTTAAAAAAAACTAAACCAAACATATTTTCGTACTTTTTATCTCTAAAACACATCTCTCAAATACAAACCAAACATACCCTTAATTTTCTAGTAACTTCTTAGGGGTCCATTTAACTTTTGTTTTCTTGTCATTCTTGATGATTCCATATAAGTTTCCAAATGTTGCATCCTTGTGGGGAAGCAATGATTGTTTTTTCATTTTTATTTTTATGTTTGTATTTTCTACTTTAAATTCCACTAACCCATGCACTCATTATGTCTTCATTTGGCAATTTGGATTGCAAAAATGCTTTAGAGCTCTAATATAAGAGCTCTAAGGGGAAGGTGGGACACACCCTGATGTGATGTTTGTGCCTTGTTTTGTTTTGTTTTGTTTTTTTTTTGTGCCTTGTTTTGTTTTTTTTTTTTGCTTTGACACATCATTAGAGCTCAAATTAGAACTCTAGATTTAGAGCTCTTTAGCATTTTCCTTTGGATTGGAGTGGATTAGTTTTGGGACTATTTTACTGATAAAAAAATAAAATAATCTTTTTAATTTAATAAGATAAAATATCACATTCAATTCATAATTATTAAATTCTTTTTCTCACAAAAAGTCAAAAAAGCTAAAATGTCTATCCCAAACAAGACTTTTTAGTTCCAAACTAAAATAGCCAAAAAACCAAAAAACTAACCTACCATGACCTCTCAAATTTCATATAATCATGACAAAAATATTCCACAAAACTGGAGTCATGTCTTTTTTTTTTTTTTTTATATGAATTTTTTTTTTTTTTTTTTTTGATAACCGAGTATTCGGGCCAGCACCCCTTTCGGAGTGACGCACCTCGACTAATCTCGGAGCCTTGAACCAATCGACCAGGCAAAGGCGCAGTGGCCCGCCAGTAGCCAGCTGGGGGTGGGATTCGAACCTGAGACCTAGAGAGGAGCAAACTCCTAGATCCCTGGTCCCTTACCCTCAACCAACTAGGCTACCCTTGCAGGTTATATATGAAAACTCATTGGTTGCATTTGGTAGAATTTTGCAAATATGATTTAAGAGTATAAGTTGTATTTGGAATTTGTGAGTTTTGGAATTATGATTTGAGTGTAGAAAATTTGTTTGGAGAAAGAGTTTTGAATTGAGTAAGAAATTTTTGATGTGACATGATATTGGATACAAAAACTTATAACTCATAACCAAACATACAACTCAAAATTTTATTAAAGCACATAAAAAAATTTAAAAATTCGGAAAATATTTTTTTCGAATATATAAAAATTAACATGTGTCAATTGCAAAAAAAAAAAAAAATTTACATTGTTCCGGTTAACCGACCGGACAATCGGTGGGACGACCGGTTAGGCCAAATTTGAAAAAAAAAAAAAAATTTGAAAATCGCGCCTGAGACAGGAGTTTTCTTTTGATTGTGGAAATACAATTTGAAAGTAGGAACCACACATGAAATTAGAATAGGTGGGTAGAATTATATTTCCAAAATCGTTCCAAACCGAGCCTTTCATTTTCGCTGTATCAAAAAAAAAACATATATGAAACTCTTTGCTTCCCACTCATATAAACCAATTGACTCAACATTCTCAGTTTAAACAATTAAAGGTCAAGTGAATAATTTTTTGCCCTCTTTCCACATAATCTTGTCAAATATTCCAAGCACAACCAAGTGGAAATGGGTTTTCCAAAAAACAAAAACAGAAAACGAAAAAGCAACCAAACATACACTTTTGCTGCAAAATTGCATGAAGCAAGCAACTCATCAATTCAATGTTTCAAAGATAACTAATGACATAGAAGTTAGTCTACAAACCTGCATTGCTCAACAAAATTGCCTATCCTCTGATGGGTCACAAGTTGCCTTTCGCTTTCTCATTGTCGTCTCTATATTCATATTCTCAGTCACAGAACTCCATTTACTCGAACATGAGTCCAACGGATCATGACCATTGGCCTTGGGGAAGAAAGAGAACTCTCTATTCTCTGGAGAAGTATTTGAACCGACATCTTCAACCTCCTGTGGCCAACTATTCTCAACACTTACGCATGGAACCGATAGAGGACCTAACCGCAACGACAAATCACATCTGATTCCAAATGGGTTCTCAGTATTTTCCCTCAAATTTGCTAAATCACAACCAATCTCAGAAAGCGTTGCATTGTCAGAGTTCAAGTTGGGAGGGATTTCAAAACTAAACTCGGATACTTGAGATTGAAGCTGGTTTCCATAGTACAAGGGATAAAAGTGGTACTTGCTACAAATTAGATTATCCTTTTGGGGGATAGAACATTGAGATTCGGAGCGTAAATGGTTGGCATTCATGGTAGTAGATTTTATAAAGTTTGAATTATTATGAGACACGAATGGCGATTTCATTGTATGATTTCCCTGAATTATGTTCTCTAGATTGTTGGGAGGAACATGAGTAGGCCCCGAAGGAGAGGTTGTAGTAAGGTAGGATCGCAGATTGTTATTTCGTTGGCTCCTTGATGCTCTTCTTGGAGTGCAGCCCAAATTGAGAGCAGCTAAGACAAATTAGAACAAGAAAATTACACATGTTACACTTCAAAAACAATCCATTTGATAATTGAAATCAAACATTTACTTGAAGCTATTACATTTTAAAGCATCTTAAAATGCATATGTTGCTGTGTTATATATCTAGCATGATTATATATAATAATATCATAAATATGTATCAGTATTAGTAATACGATTATTGATCCGTTGATATACTGATAAATTAATAAACAACAATTTCGAAAGTCTAAAATTCTGTTATGTAACCGGTGTAACCAGCGATACAACCCGTAATGGCTGATTTTTAAAACCTGACGAGTAGCATATCACTAAAATGACTACAAACAATTTTTAGAAATGCTGATTTATATTCAAAGATTGAAAATTGGCAAAGAACAAAAGAAAATTGAATAATGGATACCTTCAATGCAAGGCCGAAGAAGCTGTCCGGTTTCGGAACTCTTGTCATGTCGAATGATTGTGTCAATGGCATCATTTGTTCTACCCCAAATGGTTTTAAGATCCATGTACTCAGCCTAACAACAAGTGTTTTCAAAAGTTCACACAACACGAAAATGGAAAGAACAAAAGAAAAAGTGGGTATTGAGTGAAAATTTTGGTGTAGGAAAGTGAAGAACAAAAGCAAAACCTCAGAATTGGCTTTGGAGTAGATGATTTCTTCAGCTTTCAAGACCACAATAGGGAGCTTCTCTTGCCATTCTTTGTTCTTTTTAGTTGCTGAGTTATGAATCTCATTCACAACCCTAATCAAACACTTCATAGATATTAAAAAAAAAAAAAAAACAGAAATAGAGAAACAGAGATTTGTATATATGTGAATGGAGAGAGAGAGAGAGAGAGAACCTGAAAATTTCTTGGATGAGACAGCCTCTGATGGGTTGGTGTGTATCACTGTGCCAAGCTCTTCTAACACACTCATAGGGTCTTGGACCTGGTCTAGGCATCTTCGACAACTGAGAACAGAGAAGAACCAGAGAGAGAGAGAAAACAGAGCACTCTGTTTCTACAATCAGAACGCAATTGAAGAAGAGTTGTGGTTGCTTAATGCTTTTGCTTGGCTACTCCTGACTCTCTGTAGTCTCCAGTCTTCAAATTGGGCAATGCAGTACTAAAATTTAGTAACAGTGAAGAAGAGAGAGAGGAAGAGGGAGAGGAAGAAGGGGGGGCCTGCCTGTTTTCTTTTCTTTTCCTTTCTTTTCTTTTCTTTTCTTTTCTGTCTTTCACTCAATTATTCAAGGGAGTTTATTAATGAAAGTGGTATGTCCCCCACTTTTCTCTCTCCTCTCTCTCTCTCTCTCTCTCTGGGCTGACTGTGTGAGTGAGTCCCTCTCCTTGACCATTCTTGTAGTGGGGGGAGAAGCTTTCATGATATTTGTCACTGTTAGTCGAATTCAAACAAAACCCCCCCACACACTGCTGGAAAAAGTTCATGTCAACAATCACAAAGAAAGAAACAAAGAAAGACTTGACTCATTCCATCCTTTCAAGAGTTTAGCTAACTTTGGAAAAAATATATGGAAAATGCGAGAGGTCCCAAATTTTCTACCAAATAAATGACCAAATGTCTCACATGGATGTGAGGCTCACAAAATTGCAGACCCCACACTCATATGAGACATTTAGTCATTTATTTAGTAGAAAATTTGGTATCCTAGCATTACTCAAAATATATTTTTATTGTTTGGAGTTTGTTGTTTTAGTGGTTTTTTTTTTTTTTTTTTTCAATTTTATTTTATTTTTTTTTTAGTGAATTTTTTTAAAAAAATGTTTAGGCTTTTAAATTTTATTATGAACCAAAGAATTAAAAAATTAATTTTAAGGCTCCGTTTGGTAAGATTTTTAAAATTCAATTTCACTCCTCACTTTGAGTGTGGTGTTTGGTTAAAGTTTTAAAAAATTAATTTCACACCCACTTTTGAAAACATATCTATCCGGTCATCCTTTTGGGCGTCCGGTCGATTGACCGGAACAGTGTTCGTGTTTTTTTTTTTTTTGACACTTGTTATTTTTATATTTTAAATAAAAAATATTTTCAAATTTTTTTTATGAGTTTTAAATAGAATTTTAAATTGTATGTTTGGTTATGAGTTGTAAATTTTTAAATCAAATATCATATGTCACATCAAAAATTTCAAACGCAATTCAAAACTCATAACTAAATATATTTTCCACACTCAAATCATTATTTTAAAACTCACAAACTCAAAATACAATTCTATTATCAAATTATTATTCTAAAACTTTACCAAACGCTACCTCCAACCGAAGTCCAGAAAAGATAAAGATAAACAAAAAATAAATAAATAAAGATAAACAAAAAAGGAGTAGATTCTTTTTGGGTTTTTTATTTTATTTTTATTTTTTCAAAAAAAATTATCGTTTAAATTTGTCTACGGATCGGAAAAGTAAAAAAAAATGACATAATTTTTTTTTAAAATCATTAAAGATAAAAAAAAAATTCAAAAAAAATGTGGCTTATTTTTGTGTTCCCAAATCCCCTGAATTTACTTGGTGTAATCGATTCAAAAATAGATTAAGTGGACAAATTTTATCTTTCAATAATTAAATATTATTATAATTTATAAGATTGTTTATTGAATAATGACACTCGACGGAATATAACTATTATTTTTAATATTTTTATTCTTAGTTTTGGATTTCTAACATGTTCAGTGGAGGTGGCATTTGAGCTAAATGTTACAGTAATAATGTATAAATTTGTACTTTTTGTAATTTTTTAACGTCACGCTTGTTATGTTATTAAAGTAAATCATGTTTTAGATTTTAAATTTTATTATTGTATAATATATCAGTTATTAAGAAAAAAAACTACAAGAATTATTAATTTACATATCATTTTGCTAAATATTGTCAACTATAAAATCGGACTGAGTTGAAATTAAAAGTTAATTTATTTTTCAAATTAGGCTTGGATTAACAAAATTTAACATAGAATGTAGTGTTTTCAAACACTGAAATTAAATTATTTAAAAAAAAAAAAAACACACACACACACAGAGCCAAACAAGTCATCTATAAAATATTAATATCGAGTTATGCATGTGAATTTGAAATTTAGAATTTTTTTTTTTTTCATACCGTACCATTAGGAGGGACCTAATATTGAGCCAAGTTTTAAATTGAACATATATTTTTAGTATCTAGTCCAAGTCTGCTGTGAATCCAACCTGGTTGATGATGTCCATGCAACATTTTAAACCTTCAATTTTATTTTTTATTTAAGAAAATTAGTTACTACTTCTCCAACATAAGTTCGTATTCCAATCCATGTGAAAAAGTGTTCAAAATTGAGGTCCTTCAGTTTTTATACTATGAAAGACGAGATCCATGTTCTTCGTTGGAGACCTCAATTTGACATTGTTAGCCCTAAATTTGAAATTAGGTATCTAATTTTTGCAATCAACTTTGATCTTATACTTTTAGCCCTTAATTAAAAATTTCACTATTTTGAAAACAGGTTCATTGCCTTGCTCTATGAGCATCTCCAACGGTGCGTTAATTTTTTAATTAAATTTGAGTAAAAGTTTTTTTTGATATCATTTATTCCAACGGAGGATTTTTGCTTTTCATCAAACCACTGGTCGACTGGGCGAACGATTGGCCGGTTGACCGGCCAATGTAAAATTTTTACAATACAATAAGGAACAACATCAGTGACCAAAATGATAATCTTCTCTTCGATTAGAAGGCTTCACAGCCATCAGAGCACATGTCAGACGAGAGTATGCCTGACATCAATGGTGGTGTTATTGAGATGTAAAGGTTGGGGTATGTTCTCTCTCAATTGAAATGATACCGAGGGACGACTCTCTTTCTTCTTCATGTTATTAGGTAAAACGTTCAATACTTTCAGAGAATGGTGGTAGTTTTGGCAGTAGTTAAAGTATATTTTTACTAGTGCTTTTATAAATTTTTGAAACTTAAATAATTGTTGTTGTCCACGTTTGATTGTTGTTAATTTCACAAACCTTTTTAGACAAAAGTTGCAGTTAATTTTTTTTGTGTGCGCGCTATAGAGAAAATTAATTCTTAAAACTATTTTCATTCAGTATATTTCGCATTATCTCCAATTTATTGATTGTCTAATGCCATTGATGAACCATATTCAAGTAGTAGAGTACTTCTTGTTAGAAAAAATAGTACCAAACTATAAGGAAAATATGAATTAAAAATATATAAATGATTTTTAGGCAAAACCAAAAACTGAAATATATCAACATAATAACGTGATAAAACTTACAGTACATAAAAGGATAAAACCTGATCGAGTCGAGTGTGTGACACTTTTTCCTTAAGACAGATTCGTCCTCCCACCGGTGCTTAGGATTCAATGGACGTCTATCTCCCAGGATACAACGATCAATGTCTTGCACTAGCAGCACTACTATTGCAAGCCTAGCGAACTTTGCTGTGCATGAACTCTCTTTATAGGAAAATGAGACTCAGAAAATATGAAGAATAACGCAAAGTGAAGAAGAAAATGACAATTCATTGACCAAATTGAAGTGAGGGAGATGGAATATATAGACTTCTATGTGACTCTTCAGAAAGGTTGTGAGCCTTCAAAAGGACACACCCTTCCATCTCAAGAGACACAACCATTGGAGTAAATTTAAATTCAAATTTTTCCAACAATCCCCCACATGAATGAAATTTACGGAAAGGACATGCAACAACATGCAGACAAAGAGAGAGTACATTAAGGAAATACCCTGCATCGAGATAGGTAGCTTTCGGCTTTGAACCTTCCCTAGTGAAAGCCTATCGGACTTACTAGCTAATCAGTGGACGTGATGCCTTGAACTGTTCATCCGTTTGTGTAAGCCAAGACAATAGAATTCACACAGAATATCTCCAAACACAGTTTAGTTCTCACGATTGTGCCCATTTTGGCCTTGAGCAAGTCCTGATGTTTCATGAGTGCTTTAGAAAATTTAGCCTTATCAATTCTCATAGAAGCGGCCCCTTCATACTCATATAGGTGATCCTTATTTCGAGTCTCTTAAATACTCCTCTTGAAAGAGACCCCTCTAGGGTTTTCAAGATATAAGTGATCATTAAAAGCATAGCTTACCCTAAGTCCCCTACATACAACACATGTTGCAAATATCACTCTCATCATAGGAATGGATAGAAGTTAGACTCCTTTAGTGATTTCTGGCGAGCCACACATAACTTAGTTGTCCCTTTGAACTTAGTTCTTGAGATCTCCAGTCATCTAAGTAGGGTTATCATTATGATGACTCTGATGTAATAGGCTTTAATCACATTCCCCTCGATAAACTTTCCCTCATTTTCTTTTTAGTCAAAATTTTGTTTAGCTTAGCGGCCGCTATTTTTCCGTTTGACCTTCTCAGTTATATATCATTGAGTGGTTCGTGGATCCACTATATTATCCTTGGACAATATGCACAACTAAAAGCAAATGTCTTACGGTATTAAGTCTTTGATTATATCGAGACTTACCGTTACTCTATGTCACTTCTATTTTCAAATTTAAATATTAAACATAGAGGTGTTCCTTAGGAGTAAATGAAACCATATTTGCTTCTACTCCAACTTTGACCTATAAAAAGAATTGAGATTCTTTGTGGACCTACAATCGAAACCGTTACTTAGGTAAAATTTTCCAAGCACTCGACATTTTAAGCATTCCATGGAAACTTAATTTCTCTTGCTGGTGTATAATTACACACAAATATTAATACACCCCCACAATTCTGAGATAAATCAAAACATATCATTAATTGGCGTACTTGAACTAAATAACAAGATGTAAATTGCTTTGTGAATATAATCACAATACCAATTTGTCTAAAATACAATTAAACTTCATAACTTGCTTTTGCAGTACAAAGAAGAAATGACTAAAACCAGTTGTGGCCACAACATTTTGTCAAATAACATTTCTTTAGCCATGATTAATTTCTTTTTGTTTACTGCAACCCTTAATTCCAATCTCAACATGGAATATAAATATCACCTATAATTACATTTACATCTTATTTGTCTTATCCAGTATTGTTGACTATGTCGACAATTACCAAAGTGGTTTTCACCCATGAAATATATATATATATATATTTAACTCATATAATATTTCATTACAGAGTTATCAGTCACCATACCAATTTTAGTCATTATTCCAAAGAATAATTAGAATTCCTCTTATGTCAAAACACATAAGTTCACATTTTTATCAATACTTTGATAAATAATTGACATCCATTTATAATACACCACATACCAAATTGATATTAATGACATCATAAATTGTCAACTCTACAAC